CCTTTCTTCTCCAAGAGCTGTAAAGATGGCCTTTAGTGATACCGTTCTGCATCTTTGCCCAACACCGGTAACAAAAGTTGTGTCATCACAAAGCTGCGGATACCGCCTTARTGCAAGCACTAGAACGTCAGTGTCTGGAGAGTTGATTCCAACGGTAGTTGCGTCAGAAGCTGTGTCATCTATTCCGAGTAATATCAGTTTGTTGTCTGTCTCTTCTTGCACACTTTGAATATGAGTCATATCCTTGTGGGAAGCTTGATACTTGTTAGACCACGCAACAACTACATGCTTTYCATTCAACTGTCCTTGCAAGATAGCAGGAAAGTTCCATCTTAGTGTTGACGTGAGCCAATAGCTTCTTCATTGTGACTTTTGAGATGTTCGTGGAATCAGTAATTCGATAGGAATTCAAAGAATGCTAGTTGACATTGTGGATGGTATGGTCGARGTGCAATCACTTAAGAAGGCAGATAGTGTGAAGGACTGTTCTGATCTAGCTGACCACTTTACAGCCAAGCTGTTGAATATATACCATTATCTCTAAAGATGGGTACTCGAACTAGAAGACTAAGGCCAACAACCAGCAATTTCCTATCGAATTACTACAGCTTCTGGCGCAATCTGAGAGTCTTCCCCCAACACAATCCGCTCTTTTAGAAGCTAACCCATCTTTACCATCACCACAGGACTACGGATGGGAGCTGAATGATAACGAGTGGTCGCCTGTGATGTCTAAACTACCTCCAGCACCAGAGGCAAGTATACACCTGATAAAGTGTGGCTGTACCAAAACAAGATGCTCAACAAATCATTGCCAATGCCGAAAAGCTAGATTGGTTTGCACGGACTTGTGTAAATTCTCTGAATCAGGCGATACCTGCGACAACAATGCTGATAGCCTCGAACATGACGATGACGATGTACTCATGTCCTACTCTGAAGANGATGACAATCAATCGAATGATATCAGAAATCGATGACCTATCAATGGGCCAAGTTGGTGTGACTTTTCATCGATTGACATCGATTGCTCAATCGATGTTATCTATTGAACAATAGAAGAGTATTTGTAAAGTAAATCGCTTACAGTCAAGAACGTCACGCGTGAATGCTCACATTAGGAAGATTGCTATCTTCAAATAAACATTCAATTATTCAAATGAATGTTTTAATTTTAAAATTCATTAATCGAATYCTGAATTTTATAAATGATTATTTTTTTAATATTCGATTAATGTAACAAAGAAGTAATTTTTGTTTCAATGCACGTAAATGAGTTTTATCAGTGCCTGGGAAAATTCTTAGACTCAAGCACAACCAGACATAGTTGTGTGTTAATCGATCACTGATAGTTCAATACAGGACAGGACACGGCACAGATACAGAAAATCTACAACTAAAAATTATGAAGGACTAATGCCAAGTACTGCTACTTACATGTATCTACCGGACGGGCTTAGCTGRGTGATTGTTACCTCAGTTACAACATTACATGATTAAGCCAGCAGAGAGTCGTTCAAAAACTATTTATTAATTTGATAATAATACATCATGTTCAACCTCTAAGATCATATTAAGATGCACGATCATCGATCACGATGCATTGTTAAATAACTACACACGTACATACGATACGTTAACTTGGGTTTGATAAAATCACGCAAAAAACAACATATGGGGCTATTGACATTTTTTCTTTGTATTCTTGGTTTGATCAGTACGGTTCAATGGCAAAATATCACTGACCAACTCAACCAAATTCATTGATTCAGCGATCGTAATAAATAGCGGTTTCGCGCGTATTTTTAAACTCCAACTACGTCGCAAATTTCAATTCAATTGGACTCGAACTTTCACAGGAGTCACATTGATTATCGATAATTCTTGTTGATAAATAATTTTCTAAAAAGCGAAGCCATTTGGAGAAACGATGCAAAATAAAAACAACTTCATTTTTCTTCAAAATTAATTTTCTCGAAACTTATCGCAGAACTTATTGCAGAGACATGACTGGCATTTTCKCCGGTATTTAGTAGTATTACTAGCGGAGCTTGTTTCTCGGCGAGAATTTTCAAACTTCGCAGATAAATCCACTACTTGAGCTTGTAGGGCTGCTAGTGTTGTCAGCAGACTGCTGTTTTYCTTCGTTTTTGCTGGCTTTGTAATCACGTCATCAGCGTTTCCGGATGTAAGCGCGTTTACTTTAAATTCCTTGGTAGTCTTGCTTTGTGAAGTACGTAGCTTTGTTTGACGCTCTTCTTCCACTGACACGATCTTGTTTAACGATTCCATCAATTCTTCGTCGGAGAAACCTTCCTTWTGTAGAACGTTGATTTTACTAYGAATAGTTTCCYCTYGTAAACYCGTCTCRAAGGTGTGCACAAACAAACTCTTGACTAGCCWTTCATCGTATTTCATGTCTTTCTCRGCTTTAGAAGCRAATAAAATTCTCTCTCTAAGCRACAAAGCTCTGAGGAGGAAGTCCTGCGYSCTCTCTTTTGCTCCTTGAACCAGTGTGGTTAGTTCTTGATACAATTCRGTGGTTGTCTTTTCCTGATAATGTACTCTTAGAATTTGACAAAGTTTCTGTAAATTCATGTCTCTSATTATCTCAAGATATGACTTTAGCTTTGTATTTGAGTTGATGCAGCGGATTACTGCTTCAACTATTTCTGGCTCTTTATACCCTTTAGCTAAACTGCTGTCTATTTGTTGCATCAGGCCTACGTAGGATAATTTATCCTTTTGACCCTCTCSACCAACCGATCCCGAGATTTTGAAGTCACGTCGTAACGCTACTAGTTCTGCCACGGTGTCGTTCCCTTTTCCCTTTCTCGGCAGAGTTATTAGCTCGAGTGTCCAGTAACGTCGGTTCTTCTGTTTCGTTTGTCGTTGTCGCGTCCTGCAGTGGTGCTTGCATCCTATCTACACGTTTTTTCACTGACTGTAGAAACGCCTCTATGTCCCCTTCTTCAACATGYTCGTCGATACCTTTGAATACAGATACAGCGTATGCTGTTGCATATTTTGTTGACTTGGCTTGGCTTTCATAAACTAAGTTGTCAAGGTCTTCTTCTTGTAAAACAGCGAAGCGTGATTTTTTTTGCCTCGGGTTCCTTTACTTCCCCTATAAAATCTATTCCACTGACAGTGAAATTTGCAAGCTGTTCCTCCATTCTCAGTGATATGTAATGTGTTTTTATAGTTATGTAAAACCAAATATCAAAATTTTAAAAGTGTTGTCAGTGTTTTCAAAAAGTGCCGCGAAACACAAAGTGAGAAGAGCAAAATATATGATTTTTGAAAACAACATTTTGATAGTTCAATGATWTGAAACATGCTTATTAGTTGTTACTGTTTGCAAAAAAACAAATCTCAGCTCTACATCATTATTGCTTTCTGCCAGGGGGGTCTTAAAGTACGTCCAATATTTTTCTTTCAAATTATAAATATATACTGCTTATTTTATTTCAGGGAAAATYAAAGTTTTTTATTTTCCAAGAACACCAAACACTTTTGTAACATAATGCAGCATACTTAGTGTAAATATTTGTGACATAAATATTTGTGTCAAAAGTTTCTAAAAATAGATGGAGGTGTTTCATTTAGAATCAATAATTACTCTCACTTAGAAACCAMAGGGATGGTTATTACAAGAAAGATGGTGCATTGCATGATATTACATAGGAAAACTTTGATAGGAGAAAAACTTRAAAAAATTACAAAGCCCTTGAAATAAATGAAGAAAAAGGTTGTCACGGACGTTACGTCACGGACGTTACATTATTGAGAGTTGAAAAGATTGAATATAATTAATCAATTGTCTTGGATAATACTATTGTTTTGTTTTTTTTGTAGTGCAGTTCAAGCATTTTCTTTTCTAATGCTTTCTTAAAAATTCAGCTTTTAATTGCTCTTGATTCTGAGTCAAACCTATGAAGTTGAACCGACAAGTAGCTCTTAATGGACAACCATGTCAAGCTTTGAATACTTTTTCAATGACAGACTGCCATGGGACTTGAAATGGACCATTT